GCCATTTCAGAATGAAAATTAATGACAATGATGATGAAAATAGATTTTGTTGAAATCGGTGAAATACGGTATATGCACATACACACATGCATATCTTTCACAATCTAAGGATGAACACAAAATGATTTTGATTTCTGCCATGTAACATTAGTATAGTGTTTCCTTTGTGTATGTGTTTGTTTTACAAGTATATATGTGTGTTCCTCTCCCCTCTGTGTGTGTGTGTGTCCGTATGCATGTGCATGTTGTGTGTGTATGTGGTAGGTGCTGGGGATCTGCATTTCAGTCAAGCTTAGCAAGTGTTTTATCCACTGAGCAATCCCCAGCCCCTGTGTATAGTGTTACTTAGGGCTGATGAGTATCAAATTCAATTTAATAACTTAAATATAAGTAGTGCCTTACAGATGAAAGACTTATCATATTAATAATCTAATAGAAAAGTATCCATACCGGGAAAGATAAGTCAATAGAGAGGACCAAACTATTCATGTAACTACCACAGTAACACATTAATGATAAAGATCCTTCTTGTTTATACATACTTCTTTCTAATATTTGGATTTATATCCAATATTAAGTGGAATATTGGAAGGACATGTGTTGCTCTGACCAAGTACTATTTATATTTTCTCCTGCCCTTTGTCATCTTGGCAGAAGCCAAAAATAATCTATTACAGAGAGAGTTACTGGCATGGATCTGGCTTCTATTCCATGTACTTACACTGCTTCACACAAAAAATCCTGCATTTCCCTATAGGCTTTTTTTCTTTTTTTAAATTGTACTTGGCCAGACTTTTCATTCTTTACTATCCAGAGAAAAATACCAGAATTACTAGAGTCTACCATAGGAACTCAAACTGCATTGTTACCTAAAAAAAAAAAAAAAACACCCATTCACTTGATTTATTGCAAGATAAATCCAACCAACCCCCTAGGCATCTCTCAGATCAGACACATGCTGTAAAACGTCTACTTATCATATTATAGCAATACTCTTTTACTGCTCTAGGCATAAAATACAAACAGCCATGCTATTCTATTTGATCCGTGACCACTGGATGATCAGACAGATCAGATGGTGGCTGGAGTTTAGTGTTCCAAAATGACACTGTGGAGTAGAGCTACGTTCATGGGAAGTCAAATCAGAGCTCATTTCTTCTGTCCCTTTCACAACGGGAGAAAAGTGCTCTTAATGAGGCATCAATTCATAAAGCAAATGCCAAAGCATAAAACAAAAACAGAGAAGAAAATGAGAAGACAAATTTGCTGAATAAACATCTCTCTAAACAGGGCTGTGGACCCACTTGAGTTTTGCATCCACCACTTTCTACTCCAGCTATGACGAGAATACAATACAACTGAAAGGTCAAAATCCAACCATAGTCACCATCCTTAGCAAAGCAAAGGACACTGGTAATGGTAACTTCCTTTCTCCCTAACTCTTCCAAAGGCGACTTTTCACTGGAGATGGCAGGATCTCATTCAAAATCCATTCTCTGCTAGTCCCAAACTCACATTCTGTTAACTAGCACTGCAAGCTACCTCCTAGACATGGCTCACCACATCCATTAGCCACACAAGTGGCCTTAGCCGTCAGCATTTGCTACCATGAATAGATATTTGGTCCATCTTCTCCCACTGGAATATAGATGGCTGGAGGACAAAGGCTTCTGTTGTATCCTAGAGAACCCAGGGCTCAGACCAATGGTTGCTCACTAAAAAACAGTTCAATGAAAAGAACCACGCCTCATGCCAGAAATGAATCCCTACTATACGTATTTCAGATAGACTACAGGCATAAGAAGCCAACTGTGATTCTAATAAAGATCATATTTGTCTCCTGTACACAGGATAATTTTAAGCCCATCACACACTCATAAATTTGACTGTGACTTTTGGTTTTAGAGTATCTACATAGATACCTCCAGAGCAGCCCAGTTACGAGCGTGTACTCTGTCTTATGCAGCTGTGCCATTATCCTTATTTTGGGAGAAAATGATGACATTCTTACAAATGTCCATTTACTCAAAGCACCTTTGCATAGCAGTCTTTAGGGAACACATATGATTCAGCCCAGAGGAAGACCACATCAGACTGACCACTTGTGTTGTAAATGGGAAATATACAGAGATTTATTTTTAGTTTTCTTCCCTATGCTCAAGAGCCAGACAGAACAAGTCACAAATTGTCTGAACATCCACAAAATGAATTTTTGCCCTCATTTTGGCTTAAAGCATGAAAGAGTTTTTGTGGCGTCTCAGACCACACCTTTATCCTCATCCTCCCCACAAGCTCACATACATCATTTGACCTTATTACTTTACTTTTTAAAAAGTCAGCTTTTGGTAAAGATGAAATGTGGTGTGTTGTATAGGACAATGTAGTAAATGCGGCAGCATTTGAGTCTAACACTTTTTAAGAAATATTTTTAAATGCAGAAGGGAATTTAATAGAAACACCGGTGAGGTATCAGGGACTAAAATGCAGTCTAGGAAATACATGTTTACCCAAAGAAGGGAAAATTAAGTATTTCTGATCAGGTCTCATGGTTCCCCGATGCTGTATTTTTGAATGGCACCAATCTGGCTGAATCTGACTCTTTGAACATTGAGTCTAAGAATAGCATATTGTGAGACTATTGAAAGTATTCTGTATCTTCCCAGTGATATTTACCTAACACCCTCTTTGCCAAGGTCATTACTCCCCACAGCTTGGACAACGTGAGTAAGAATAAAGAAGGCACAACTTTGTCTTCCCACCCTCCTGCACACGTCACGGAGGTGAAGGAAACATGTTTTCAGTGTGCAGTCAGGAAAGACAACAGATAGCAGAGAACAGAATAGAATTTCCAAACCATACATCCATTACTCACACACATCACAGAGGTTGAAAACATGTCTTCAGCGTGTAGTCATGGAGGACAACAGTTAACCGAGAAGAGAGTAGAATTTCTAAACTGTGCGTCTATCCTCCAGGTGCTTCTCTCAGATGGTTGGCTGCTACAGTCATTTCAAAGGCTGAGGCTCAAAGTCAGCAGGTAACTAAGACTAGAACACCTCAGGTTTATTTTAAAGGGAGTTTCAGATAACATGAGAAAGGATGGCTTTTTACTCAGACCACGGCCTGTTAGGAGCAAGTCTGAGTCTTTGCAAGACTAGCAAAGCTCTTATCATCTCTGCTTTTCAGATGAGAACACAGGACTGGGGAATATCTGTTGCCAGGCAGCCGACATGGTACTTGCAGAGGCTCCTTTCTTTTTTCTTGCTCTGTGTTGCAGAGATGAGCACATCCTCTCTATGAAATGGTCTTGCGATGGCATGCCGTCTCTCACGGGCCCAGTGCCACATGATCACTTGAAATTTACTCATATTTCAGATATAGTGTATAGCAGAAGGTCATTTTACAATTGTATTTGGGGGTGCATTGTGCTAGGGCTCTAAGTGGTTCCCTGGGTGCAGATGTGAGGTTTTCCACTTGCGCCACTCTCTTCTATCTCTGTTAGTTAACTATCTCAAGTATTTGGCTTCAATGATGGAAGGCTAATGGGGTATTCTGCATATTTGTCCTCTCCTAAGAAAGGTCCAGGATGGCTGATGTACTCTGCCACGGAGTACTATGTAACTAATTGAACTGTATCGATTCCTCTTGAGGATCCCGGGGGTTGGCTGTCTCCTCCTGACACCTCTTGGGGAGTCCAGGAGTTGGCTGTCTCTTTTCCAGAATCACCTACCATCCTCAGCTGAGGAAGAGGGGGCAGGGGCGGAAATGCAGGGAGGCTGCTCAGATGCTTGCAGCAGGGGCAATGGGGAGAGAAGATGGTGGGTCTCAGGTAACCTCCATGTAGGGCCACAGGCTCAGCCATGAGTCCTGGGTGCTGTGTGGACTGGGCTCTATGAGCGCGGTGGCAACTGTAACATTTATGAAACTCCCCTTCCAGATGTAACTGAGACTACAGAAAGGTGGCCTTATAACTTTGAATTTCTTTATATGCAATCCTGTATTTCTGATAAATAATTTCAATATCTTCCAGGTTAATGATCAACTCTGGTGTCACTGGCAAGAGAAAACCATAATCACTTCTCACAAATCACCCACTATCGGTCTCAGATAACATGTAACAAGCTTACAAAGGAGTTCTCCTTACAAAATTGGCCGATTCCTCACCCTTCCAATTGTCCTCATTCCTCCCCAAACTGTCATCTTAAGTTTATAATGTAAGAATTAACAAGAGACACTATGCTCCTCTACCCCCAAACTTTTGCAAAACCACTGGCTTCAATCCTGGAAAGTTGACAGAGCTCTCATCACATTTTAAAAGAAACATAGTAAGGGACAGGAGTGGAGGAACATAAGGTCACGGGGGTCATGTCCGTGAAGGCTGCACAAGACACTGTCTAGAACGTTAATGTGAGTCAAGCCAACCACTGTAGACATGATCTGCCCAAACTTTGAATCTTACAGTACTCAGGACTGAGCCAGCCCAAGGCTAGGCAGGAACTCTTCTTCAGTGTCATACCTCCCCACATTGTAAAATGGTTTGAAACCTGCTGGAACTTATTATTTCATGATGGTCTAACTGCTGTAAGTAGCTTACACCATGGCTACTGCCTCAAATTGAATTGAAAAGAACATCATTAACAAATATTCAAGCATTTACTTACCGATATTCATATATTCATTACCAAATATTCATTGACACATATTAAAATATTCATTAAGAAATATGTTAAGATTTAATACTCTTGATGCTTCTTGTGTTACAGTGAATTTTCTAACCCATCTGCAACAGAGGCTCCACAGCACAGCAGGCTACTTATAAGGTATGCCACCAGAGCCCCTGAACAATCACAAACACAACCAGACAAACACTTCACTTCAGGGACTAAGCAAGGTGTTCAGGATGGAGGGAATTTTAGCGTGAAAGCTTCAACTACGAGAAACTTCAAATTTAAATCCTAGTGTTTTTCTAATTTCCTCAGGATTACAAAGCAAACACTTACCAACCAGGACAACGAGTCTGTATTTGTCATGGGTCTGCCGCCGGTAGGGCATCACCTCCTCGTATGTGGGCACGTCTGCAGCGTCATACTGCTCACTCTTTTTGCATTCATACATTGACTTATTTGTTTTCTTATCTTTTCTGCTAAGACGGAAACTTCTTCTAAAACCAGCTACAAATAAAAAATATACATATTTATTTTTTTAGAAAACATTTAGGGTATTTCAAGCAAAAAATTAAAATCCCCCAAGCCAAATATTAAACTCCTTTCATATCAGCTCCACAATGTAAAATAAAATACAAGTAGCCTATAAATGTGCAAAAGTAAATTTGCTTCCAAAAGGATATCAATGGCTGGTGAGACAGCGCCTGCTGCGGCAAGTTCGATCTCTAGATCCGACATGAGAGTTTGAGAGAGCTGACTTCCACTGTCGTTGACCTCTATACATAGCCTATGGCATGTGCACATACGCACATACACACACACACACACACGCACACACATGAAATAAACAAACATAGTAAAAATTAAAAATAAAAATATGTAGACTACTTTTAGAGTTTTTCTACAAGGTACAAAAGTGAAACAACATATATATATATATATATATATATATATATATATATATATATGAATTTTGGAGACTACATAGGAAGTCAATAACAATTCCCACTGGGTTTGGGA